TATACGGAGTCACCATCACACTGTAACACGTGGTAATATACCGAGTCGCTATTACACTGTAACACGTGGTAATATACTGACAATCACAATCCCATTCTAATATATTTCTAACCTAACCTAAAACCACAGTACAGTAGGTAGTAGCCGCCACACAGCACAGTACAGTAGGTAGCAAGGCACAGTGGGGAAGTGTGCCTTTCTCTACGACCACCTGAGTTTCTGGTGATTATGTCAGGCTTAACGAAACAGGTAAACGACTCTGTAAAACGGATAAAAGACAGCGCCGCCGAACAGACCCTTAAATAGTGTTGGCCTGAATACTGCTGCCCTTACTGGCGATCGATATGACTGACACCAATGGCAGTGTGTTAGGGTAATGTTTGTCGTGCTTGAGTAGCCCTTTAAAATGAGTTATAGCGCTCGAGTGGTAGCGGGGAGAGGGTCGGATAACCAGGTCAATCGATGTGTTCCAGTGATGGTGGTGAGGTCGTGTTTTTTTTCTTCTATCATGACCTCTAAAAGTTTTTGAACATTTTTTTTTTTAATAATTCACGTGTAACTTGTTTCTGTCTGTCTGTCTGTCTGTCAGTAATTATGAGTTGTCACTAGTATTTGTCTGTGTCGTAAATGTGTAGGAATCAAGACGGATCAGCTCAGGTGTTTTTTTTTATTCAGTTTTGTTCAACCAGGATAATACAGAGTAAACAACAGCAACAACGATATCGACATTGCTATGTACTGTAGCTCCTTTGACGGCACCATTTCATCTACAACCGGGTACTTGGAGGGGGGGGGAGGGGGAGGGTAGGTTAACTTCAGGTGATTCTACAGTATCCAAGAGAGAGAAAATTGACCAAAACACAAAATAGAATGTGTTGATTCGACGTCCACTGTTGACGGTGTAGTGGGGAAGAAATTATGATTGCCAAAGCTGAGTACTAAGTCATCAAGCGTTATTCCAGAGCCAAGTGGGTGGTGATAAGCTTGAGGGGTGACGGTGAAGGTCCGGCTGACGGTGAAGGTCCGGCTGGCTGTCATCTCCTCCCTCTGGTGGTGGTGGGCCTTTCTGCTTCACCACCTCTAGCTTCATCACTATCACCACCATCACCATCACTACTATCAGTCCTAACACTATCACCACCTCCAACCCTATTATATCTACCAGCCACATCACCCTATCATCATCACCACGATCACCACCACTATCTCCAACATCAGTATATTAATGGCAATAAATCCGACTGCCAGGGTTCAATCTCCTCTCAGTTGACCGACTTTATACACAGCTGGTGGAGTGTAACCTACAGCTGGTGCATCACTACACAGCTGGTGGAGTGTGACCTACAGCTGGTGCATCACTACACAGCTGGTTGAGGATTGCCTGTATACACGCAAATTATTAAAACAAAATCGAGATAAATAATGAAATAAATATAAGGTACAAGTTTCTACATAAATACAGAGGAGTTTAGTTTATAGAACACACAAAATATTCATGCTTTGTCGACGTGGCAGTATGCGTGTGTAAGTCACCCCTAGAGACCCGCTGTTAGCAGAAGTTGGTAGATAATATAGCGTAGTAATACAGCTACAAACACCTCCCTACCTCACTACATGTAGACCTAGTGGCCACCGCTTGACCACCTCCTGTGACAGTGTTGTGTACCTGCCAGCTGGGTTAGGTTAAGCGAGGCTCACCTAAATCATCGCTAGAATTCCACCGACGGAGTTATTACGGGACGCAAGGAATCCAGAATTTTCTTAAGTAAATAACCTGGCTCAGTAAAACTTAAGTTGGTAAAGTAATATAAAGTCACATTTCAGATTACACACTGGTAAAAAAAAGTAAGAAAAAAAGAAGTAATTGAATATTTACTTAATGTATATTTTACACCTGGGTAACAGTGACATGGGCAACACGCAGGCGAGTCGGTAATTTAAGGTAGGAACTTTCCACCTGCCGGCCGTCACCGTCACCACATCAGGTAATGAAAAACTATGCAGGAGAAATTGTGGAATTACGTGGCGCAACACGGCATAATATTGTATCGACCACTCAAGAGGATTTGTAGTGCTCACCGCCTAAGTCTACACTCACCCCGACCAGGTGTGTTGGGCGGAGAGAGAGAGAGAGAGAGAGAGAGAGAGAGAGATAAGCCACTAGTGTATAATGACAGAATATTGATAAATACCTTAAGGATATTATAAAACTTCGAAATGGATTATCAATATCTAAACCCTGATGTTATTTTCATATATCATCTATTTTATTTATTGTAAGAGAAGTATTTTTTGTAGTTACTTTTGTTATATGTACTTTTATGTATATTAAGAAGATATAAATGATTCGCGTACCTGTAATTATGTTCGTAGGCATTAGGAGGTTCTCGGGTTGGCACTGTGACGAATTGATTGCTGAAGACACATTGGAATTCTTACAAACGTCGTATGATTGATTCTGGGGTTGTGTACGAGGTAGGTAGTGTGTGTGTGTGTGTGTGTGTGTGTGCGCGTGAGGTAGGTAGTGTGTGTGTGTGTGTGCGTGTGGGTGCGTGAGGTAGGTAGTGTGTGTGTGGGGTGATAGAGAATGACCCTCGGAGGATCAACTATGATACGTCAATATGGTTGTTAGGTGGAAGTGGTGTTGTGAGTATTGTTGGCGGATACCATGGCTACTAGTACAATACTGCCTCTCACTATCACAGCTCCTCACCACTATCACCAACACAGCCCCTCACCACTAAACCACCACCACCACCACAGTCCCTTGCAAACACCTCCCCCACGGTACTTCTACACCACACTTCACCACCACCTCCTCCACCAAAATTCCTCACACCACAACTTTCTCCCACCGCCACCACCACCAATATCAACAATGCTTCAATTACAGTCTCCCCTTCTCTCCCCCTGTTCCCCCTTCATCTCCTCCTCTTTTCTCTTTCCCATTCATCTCTCTGGTCCTCCTTCCTATCCTTCGCGGTCTCCCTCTCCTCCTTTATTCTCTTCCTCTTCCCCTTTTTTCTTTACTCTCTTCCCCTTCCTCTCTCTCCCTTTCTTTACTCTTCTGCCCCTATCTCCTCTTCTCCCTCCCTTCCTTTACTCTCTTCTCCCTTCCTCTCTCTTTCTCCATTACTTTATTCTCTTCCCCTTCCTCTCTTTCTCTCCCTTCCTTTACTCTCTTCCCCCTTCCTCTCTCTGTTCTCCATTCCTTCATTCTCTTCCCCTTCCTCACTTTCCCTTCCTTTACTCCCTCCCTTCCTCTCTTTCCCTTCCTTTACTCCCTCCCTTCCTCCCTCTCCCATCCTTTACTCTTCTCCTATCCTTTACTCCCTCTCTCCCTTCCTTTACCCCCCTTCCTCTTCCTCTCTCTCCTCCTTTACTATCTTCCCCCTTCCGTCTTTTCCTTTTCTCTCCGTCCCTCCTCCTGTCACCGTACCCCAACATTACGTTAATTGTGTAATTGCACCACTTAACCTGGGTCAGGTCTCGGCCTTCCTCAAGTGGTATTAGTGCCACTATCTTCAGGTGTAATAATCCTCATCCTCGAGAGTACCGCCAGAATTCTCATTTCTATCATGGAGGGTGTCATTATCCTTCACAGTGCCATGACCATCTTCCTGGGTATCATCATCATCCTACACCGTCATTATCAACCTTCGGGATGTTATTATCTTAAAGGCAATCATCATTATCATTCCTAAGTAACTCACCGTCATCCATGTTATCATCCTCATCATCCTCCACATATACATATCATCTCTAAGGATATATCATCATCCATAGCCTTCAGGGTATTCCTCATTAACATCCACTCTTATCATCCTTGTGTTCCAGAATGTTTTAGTGTTCTCCTCTGCAATAACTATCCCATCTTAAGTAAGGGTGGGTGGGTGGGTCCTTAACTGTGGCCGTGTTAGAAGAGAGGGTCAGCACACACCATCTATACACTCCTGGACTCTTTTAATATTGACGGTGAAAAAATGTTGGTTACCGTGACTGAGACATAGTGGTGGCTTTATGTCTTGAGAAGCCACAGAAAGAATGGATGTGGGTGTGTATGTGCTGGGAGAAGGGGTGGGGTGGGGTGGGGTGGGGTGGGGTGTGGGGAGCAGGTGCATGTTAACTGTGTGTAAAATCGAGAAAGGAAGGAAGGCAGGGCGGCGGTGATCAGTGTGGGCATAGTATTGTTATCTGGATTACCTTTAATTTATTCAGGAGGAGGTTTCCATTCTTATCTCCCTCCATGGTTACCTTATCAACATTACTATCACCATTATCATCCATCTGCCAGGTTATTATTATCATCATCCATATAACTCACCAATACCAACTTAATTCGGGGAAAATACTGGATTCACTCCATCTGACCCCGGTTGTCTATCACTGCCATCGCTACCGCATGATAACTCCGTTTTCCATGCATTGGTCACCGTGGAAAACTTTATTTCTATATTGGTAAAGGATTGATAATGGTCCCCGGTGATTGTAGACAGGAGACATCAAAGGTCAAGGTCACGGGTGCTAAATATTAAGTGTTTCTGCATTATAGCTTTGATGGCACCTCCATATTGACTCCCTGACAGAGTGAGCTCACCTCTTTCCTCCCCTGGCAGAGTGAGCTAATCTCCCTGACACAATGAGCTAATCTCTCTCCTCCTCTTGACAGTGAGATAATCTCTCTCCTACTCCTGGTAGAATGAGGTAATCTACCTCCTACCCCTGACAGAGTGAGCTAATCTTCCTCCCCCCTGACAGTGACCTAACTTCCCTCCTCCCCATAACAGAATAAGCTAATCTCCCTCCACTCCCTGACAGTAAGTAAATCTACCTCCTCCCCTTGACAAAGTGACCTAACCTCCCCCCTCCCCCTGGCAGAGTGACCTAACCTCCCTCCTCCCCCTGACAAAGTGACCTAACCTCCCCCCTCCCCTTGGCAGAGTGACTTAACCTCCCCCCTCCCTCTGGCAGAGTGAGCTAATCATTCTTTTCCTTGGCAGGGTGGAGTTCACGGTGGGCGGGCGGTCGGTGAACAAGTTCCGGATGATCGAGCGACACTTCTTCAGAGACAAGCTCCTCAAGACCTTCGACTTCGAGTTCGGCTTCTGTATCCCCAACTCAAAGAACACATGCGAGCACATCTACGAGTTCCCCACGATACACTCAGAATTAGGTGAGTATAGTCCAGTACACCTGGAGATAGGTGAATGTAGGTGTAGTAAGAGCATAATGTACATACACCAGAACCTTAGATTTTTAAGGATTTTTGTACTGGTATTTTTTTTTCCCATTTCTTTTTTATACGATTTTTTTTTACCGTGTCTTTCAAGATGGTGTTCTCATTATAGTAGTAAATCATGTGACTTCTGAATTAACAGACAGAACTTGTATTCTTCGGAAAAGGGATGCTTAGAGACATACGGGAGGTGAACACTGCTCCTTTCTGATTGGCTGAGACCAAACGACCGATTAATACTGCCTGGTGAATCGTTGTCTATGAGAAGCGAGTACTCGTGGTGCTTCTCTCTAATTGGCTAAAGAGGCTGAATGGACGATAAATACCGCTGGAGATTGGTTGACTACGATAAGCTAGTACTCCTAGAGGTCCTCTCTAATTGGCTGAGAGATAAAGCGAACGATGAATATTGAGAGACGATTGGTTGATCAAGATTTTTCTCCTCTTATTTGTCGAGATTTCTAAGCGAGTAAGAAAATTCTAGTCGATGATTGGCTAAAGAGATTTCCTTGGTGATAATGTGTTCCAGAACATCTTGTTGAAAAAATTAATTAATACCTGAAATCCATAACTAGATTGCTTGTGTTCGTCAGAGTTAAACTGTGGAATTAATTAGATTCTGGTGGATGTGCGGAGTATTGGCTTCTGTTTACATTTGTGTATTAGTTTTTGTTTTAATCTAGCAGGGGAGAGAGGGGAGAAAGGTGAGGGGAGGAAGAGGGAAGGGGAGAATGAAGAAGAAAGGGGTGAGGGTAAAGAAGGAGAGAGAGAGGAAAGACCGGAAGAGGGAGAAGGGTGAGGGTACGAAAGGAGACAAAAGGGGTGACAAATGGAAAGGAACCGAGTGGAAGACGATAGAGAAGAGAAGAGAAAGTAAGGGAAGAGGAAATAAAGAGTGGGCGGGGTGGAGAAGCAAGAGGGCAGGATTGAGAGAGAGAAAGAGAGATGAAGGGAAGAGGGAAAGATGGAGGAAGAAAGATGGGGACACATAAGAGAAGAGAAGTGTGATACAGACACACACACACATCACACACACACACATATATATATATATATATATATATATATATATATATTTGGCTTCAGTGAAAACTACATTATTCCAAATTCATTCTGCTACCACCTTTTCCCCTTAGTTGTTATCGCTGTTTATCGATTCTCTCAGTCTTTATCACCATCTTCTTGTCTCCCCCAATGTGAGACGTCAGACAGGCGCCACTTCCCTCCCTCCCCAACCGTCATACACGACACCCTCCCCAAGCAACCGATCCCCCCCCCTTCCTCACCCCCACTCTCTACCCCCTGGTTGGGAACAAGATGAAGGGGAGACGTGAACTGTGTAACCCCTAAACCACTCCACCCCTGAACCACTCCACCCCCTGAACCAGACTCCACCCCCCTCGGTAACTTTTGAAGCCAGTGGAGAGTATGGTAGAGGTGACCATGGCAATGAAGACTATGGTAGTGGGAAATGTGGTAATGGAGGCCATGGTATCGGGTCACCATTGAATGGTTGGTAAGCCAGATGAGATATTGATCCCTGAGAAACTTCCAGTGCTAGACACCAGTGGTGGAGCAGTATTGACACCGGTGGTGGAGCAGTATTGACACCGGTGGTGGAGCAGTATTGACACCGGTGGTGGAGCAGTATTGACACCAGTGGTGGAGCAATATTGACACCAGTGGTGGAGCAGTATTGACACCAGTGGTGGAGCAGTATTGACACCAGTGGTGGAGCAGTATTGACACCAGTGGTGGAGCAGTATTGACACCAGTGGTGGAGCAGTATTGACACCAGTGGTGGAGCAGTATTGACACCAGTGTGGAGCAGTATTGACACCAGTGGTGAGCAGCATTGACACCAGGTGGTGGAGCAGTATTGACACCGGTGGTGGAGCAGTATTGACACCAGTGTGGTGGAGCAGTATTGACACCAGTGGTGGAGCAGTATTGACACCAGTGGAGCAGCATTGACACCAGTGTGGAGCAGGCATTGACACCCAGTGGTGGAGCAGTATTGACACCAGTGGTGAGCAGTCACCAGTGGTGGAGCACACCAGTGGTGGAGCAGACACCAGTGGTGATTGAGCAGCATTGACACCAGTGGTGGAGCAGTATTGGTGGCAGTTGGTGGAGCACACAGTGGTGGAGCAGTATTGACACCAGTGGTGGAGCAGTATTGACACCAGTGGTGGAGCAGTATTGACACCAGTGGTGGAGCAGTATTGACACCAGTGGTGGAGCAGTATTGACACCAGTGGTGGAGCAGTATTGACACCAGTGGTGGAGCAGTATTGACACCAGTGGTGGAGCACCAGTATTGACACCAGTGGTGGAGCAGTATTGACACCAGTGGTGGAGCAGTATTGACACCAGTGGTGGAGCAGTATTGACACCAGTGGTGGAGCAGTATTGACACCAGTGGTGGAGCAGTATTGACACCAGTGGTGGAGCAGTATTGACACCAGTGGTGGAGCAGTATTGACACCAGTGGTGGAGCAGTATTGACACCAGTGGTGAAGCAGTATATTTAAGGACAGCAGTAGCGGAGCAGTATATTAAGGACCCCACAACAGGAGACGTATCCTCTTAGGACATCGTGGTGGAAGTGTATCTCCGAGGATAACAGTGGGCGAGTTGGATCCTCGCCAAGCAATTGAGGGGGTTTACCAACCCTGGTGTGAGTTTGAACTGAGAGGGAGGCGAGTATATTGAGCTGAGAGGGAGGTGAAAGTTTGAGCTGAGAGAGAGAGAGTAAGTATCTATGAGCTGGGAGCGGGGAGGTAAGTGTCGGGCTGAGAGTGTCTGTGACCTTGGAGAGGTGAGTGTATGTTAGCTGAGAGAAAGGAAGTGAGTGTATGTTAGCTGAGAGAAAGGAAGTGAGTGTATGTTAGCTGAGAGAAAGGAAGTGAGTGTATGTTAGCTGAGAGAAAGGAAGTGAGTGTATGTTAGCTGAGAGAGTAGAGGTGAATGTATGTGAACTGAGAGAGGAGACGTGAGTGAATGTGAGCTCAGAGAGGGGAGGTGAGTCTGCGAACAGTTCGTAGAAGGTGTAAGAGGTTCCGGGAGAGCGAGATGTGACCTGAGGTGTAGAAATGTCAAGGAGAAGGGAACTCGAAGAGGGGGAACCGAGACCGTCTTCTGTAAGTTGGAAGAAGGAAAAAAGGTTAATAGCCATAGTAATTGTGTCTATAACATGGGAGAGGGGAAATAAGGGTTTATAAGCTGGGAGAGAGTAGATGATGGTATAGTCGCTGGGAGAGGGGGAAATGAACATTAACAGGGAGAGGGGAAATGAGGGTGTATTAGCTGGGAGATTGGCATGGTGGGGTGATAGCCTCTGGGAATGTGTTTTGGAGAGGTGAGGTGAGAATCTGTTAGAGGAGGTGAGGGGTGTGTCCTGGAAGAGGGGAGATGAGTGTCTTGAGCCAGTTGTGTAGAGGAAGTAAGAGTATAACAACGAGAGGGAGGACAACATGCTAGCGAGTGAGTGAGTGAGCTGTCATCATTAACTCTGACGGGTCTGGCCTGAAATATGGTCGAGAATATTGACACTCTATGAAACACCATCTCAGGCGTGAGAGCAAGACTCATTCTTAGGCCTGATCTGAGATTTGTACAGCGCGAAGAACTGATTAATGAAATATTTCCTAACTTGGGGAGAATGTTCAACGTTGTAAAAGTATTCTTGGCAGTGGCAGTAATGTTGTACCACCACGAATAGTCAGAAGAAACCTATGATGGATGGGGACTGGCTGAGTTGGCTACCAGACATGCCAAGAACGAAACAAAGAGTTTGTCTTCAACAAGATAAGAGAATGGTTTTAGCCGTACAAGGAACATGTGGCTTGGTGGTGGCAGTAGTAGGATAATTGAGGAAAACTTTGCCAGCCATTAAGTGACAATTGTTTTATATTTAGCCTTGAGATCTTAAGAAATAGAATCAGCGGTGGTGATAAAAATTTATGAAAAACCAATGTTTCGAGAAATGTGTTTGGCTTTGTGCCAACAAGCACAACTGCGAGAGGGACAGAAGGACAACTGACTTGGTACCATATGTCTGAATGCTTTAGTTGGAGCGATAGATGATAGTATGGCATTTTTTCCAACCTGTGACACACTGAACGAATATGATCAACTGAAGCCATTCTCTAACCCTTGAGACAGTGGCTTTACGATTAGCTGCTGTTGTACACTGAGGATTATCCTGTATAGATGACTATTTGCCTGGTTTGGAAGTCGATCACACGTAGCAGAAGGAGTACAATAATGGTTTCGGCAGTGAGAGACGTCAGAAGAGAGATCGGAGTAACACTACAGAAAACACTTAAAGGAGGATGTAGGTTGGTGTGATGAAAAGGGATGAGACATCTAGATAAGATAGTGATCATAGGAGACAAGTAGTGCAGAGGTCCTTATTGAGATAGTGTTTGTGGTGAACAATAAGTCAGGTGTTGGAATGACCAGAGGACCGTCGTAGAGTAGGAGTTGTGTTCTCACAGGCTGTGTGATCACTGAGGATGGAGGAGGACTCTGTTTTAATGCTTAGATAGTGACTGTTCGGTGTCAGAGCCAAGGAAGACAATACAGCTGACACATGCTTAGCCAGAAAAGTATAAAAAAATATATTATAGATTTAGATCCTGGATCAGTGACGCTAATACAATAGGGCAGAGTGACAGCAGTGATAATCGAGACAATATATATGGGCATTATTTGATTTAAACCCTAGTTGAGCCTGAAAAATGTGATTTGGTTTACTGTAGATTCTGGTGAACAGCAGTGATCTTATGTGGGAACCTCTGCAGGTAAGCCACAACAGGCGTGAACAGCACAGTACACTTGCTCCGTTGGGCCTCTCGAAAACTCACGTTAAGACAGTTTTCAGCTGCAGGTTAGTAGAGAAAAAACACGGGTTTATATATGCCAGTTGAAGA